GGACGCCTCATGTACCTGGCAGGAGAACGACCTGAGATCTTCGTCGACGGCAACCTAATGGAGTCGAGAGTGAGAACCCAGAAGTCAGTGGCTTTGTCTTCAGGAGAGTCAGAGTTTGTGGCAGTGGTAGCTGGATGTTCTGACGGCCTCCTGATTAAGCACCTATGGATGCAGGTGACCGGAGAAGGATGTCAGATGAGAGTCCGGTCGGGTAGCTCAGCAGCGGCAAGGAATTGGCCGAGTGCGTCATTTAGACGCATCCCTCTTGTGGGTCCAGCAAAAGGAGAAGGACAAGGTGCTCACCACAGGAGCCATTCCAACAGAGCTGAACTGTGCAGACATTGGCGCCAAGAACCTGACCCGCAAGAGACTCTTCGGTCTACATGCTGAAGGTGGTGAACGCAGCGCGCGATAGAGTGGGAGAATATGAGTTCAGGGAACTCGAACATGAGGAGAAGATGAAGAGGGCAACGAAGAAGATCCTGAAGGACAAGAACCTCCATGTGGGCATGATCATGCTGCTGTCAAACTTGTACCAGGCTGCTGGAGAGCCTGTGGGAAGCGGCATGCGTGGAGGAGAAACCACACAGACCATTGACTGGACATGGATCGTGTTCGTGGTCTGTGCAGCACTCGGGGCCTTGAGCACGATGAAGTGGCTATGGGACTACACCAAGAACATCTTCCTGGGCATACTATGTGGCAAAAGCCATGGAAACCAAGACCCAGGAAAACGACGCCTACCAGAAAGGAAAGGGAGTCAGCGTAGAGACACAAGCTGACTGGTGTGCAACAGCCCTGAAGCAAAGTGAGAGAGAGAGCTTATGCAGAACAAGCTATTTCAGCTTGATTTGTACATAGAAGAGCTTCAACAAGAGCTGAATCAACTTCGAGAAGAGAAGAACCACCTGCTCCAGGAGCTTAGGATTTCTGAAGCATATGGGTTGAAACTCATGCAACGAGCAACCCGGTACAGGATATGCACTTCAGGAAGCGTGATTCATTTTGAACCCTCATGCCCCTTCTATGTGAAGGGACACTTCCCGTATTGCGTAAAGTGTTTTGGTGGAGGAGCGGTGTCAAAACGATGAGACGGACACGGAAGTCAACCACCCAGACACTTGAGCACAAACGAGAAGTGTACACGGACCGACTTTCAGGCCCAAGCGAAAAGTGATTTGCGCGCTTCGCAAATATTATATTATGTTGCTAGTTGTTCCTGGTATGCCATTGAGGGCTAGCAAAACTAGCAGACCACTCCAGAACAAAAAACACAGGAGAGTTTTCGCGGCGTTCCCATACATATACAATATGTATAGATATAGCAAGTGCTGCACCGCTTCTCTATCTAGCAATGCAACGGCTCATATATGTTGCTCGTCTGTCGCAGGCAGAGCATCTAGTCTTAAGAGATGGAGTCCAGCCAACCGCTGAGGGTGGCCAAAATATTGTTTTTAGCGATTTCGGAGTAGGAGTTGGAGCAAATGAAAAGCAATCTCAGAGTGCAGGATAGGGGACAAGTCAAAAAAAACAGTGAGCGGAATGAGCAGAAAGCGATCCAAAGGTGATGTGATTGAAATATTTGGATGCCAAAAGCAAGAAGAACGCAACAAAAGGTGACCAACATGTGATCAAAAAACAATCCAGAATCGAAACCTAATATATAAACGTCACGTGTCGTTTCGGCAGGCGTTTCGCAATATGTCAGCCAGTATGCTCACTATTTTCTCACTATTTTCTTGCTATTTGCTCATTATTTTCCTGTCCATGTTTTGCTTTCCTATGTCTCCGCAATCACTTTTTGATTGTTTTTTTCCACATGTTGCACGAACACCCCAACCTATGTTCACTATTTTCTCGCTGACTTCCTTACTCAGGACCTCGCAAAAAAATAAATCTACATTTCCAGTGGTTGCCTGTCGTCGCAAGTCTTAAATCTAGTCTATTCTAGTTACATACATGTGGAGCGTTTGGAGGCTATTCTTGTTGCCTTTCTTTTGATGGCGGAGGAGATAGAAGACACAGGTGTGCACAGAATGAGAATGTCTTTCCTTAGGGCAGAATGGAGTGGCCCTCCCGATGATCCAACCTCTTCCACCTATTCAAAAACGACCCACGCTTCTGCAAAAATCTCCGGTCAAAATTTTCAAGCAGGGGGTCCCCAAAATAAGGGGACCCCCTGCGATGGGAACCTGGGAAGAGCTTCAAAACCGAAAAGTCGCCTAGGACAGTTTTATTCAAGAACACCCTCATTAAACCATATCAAACATTGAAACAACGCATCAACATCGAACGGTCGTCCTTCCTTAAAATCATGATTTTCCAATATTCTTTTGTCAGGTTTCTATCAGACTAACGACTAAAGTTACAAAAGATTTCGGTGCGCAGTATCGCTGTGGCATGTGGTTTGGAGACCTCGATGGAAAGTGTGTTTGTGTAGCTGTCTGTGCTATTGGGGAAATCATGCACATATGGGTGTGTAAATGTGGCGTACCGCCGACGCGTTTGGTGGTGATTCTAGTGGGTGGGCACCCTTTAAAGAACACTCTGAATAAACTACGCCGGGAGCATTTCTGTAGGAGAAAGTAAAGGCGGTGATTCTAAATCAAAGTGGAGTAAGAAACACAAGACACACTTTAAGTTCTCTATATAGTGTCTTTGGGTTACACCATAATATATGTTATACGGGGCTTTGACAGCTTGACCTTGTCAGCTTTGTGCTAAGGAAAGAGGTCAAGCGCATGATGCCAGGTCTGTTGCTAGAATAGAAGGCCTTTGCGAACCTAGGAAGGGTGCCGACTTGACCCTTGTGCTACAAACAAGACCTGCTTCAGGTACTGTCTTGGGAATTGCTATCGATCACTACGGTCCGGTGGCACTTTGCGTACTGGGGGGCATGCTGCAAGGCGCAGGGCTGTTGCTGATGGGCGTTGGGAATGGTGATCCCAGCACAACTGCAGATACACTCTTTTTTGCGTTTGTCATGAGCGGCATTGGTGGGACAGCATTGGTGCTGCAGTCATTGAAGCTTGCTTTCATTGTTGCACCTCGCCACTTTGCTCTTGTGATGGCCACCGCCAATCTCCGTAGTGCCTTTGGGTTTGTATCAGTTGTATGTGGCTGGACTATCTCGACAGTGGGTTTTCTCAGGCTATGCTGTGTTGTGCTTCCTCTTGAGCATGTGTTTGGCCGCAAGCTGGCACGGAGCGCCTAGTGCCAGACTCAGTGCTGCCAATCGCAAGGAGTCTGCAGCGGCTACCAGCGAAGCAGACGGTCTGTGTCCAAGACTGCACGGCCTAACAGTGAGACAGCAACTGCCAACAATCGAGTTTGCCTTTGCCGTCACGTTCATGGTGACACAGGTCTTTCGAAGCAGTGCATATCTCGGTGTAATCAAATATCTCCTTCAAGGTCTGGGTGATGATGAGAATGTGTACATGCAGATTTTGACCATCTCACTTCCAGCATCACCTCTTTTGGTTTATCTCTTTGACATGAGCTTAAAGAAAGGTGGCTTTGCATTCACATTTTTCGCAGTGCTGCTTCTTGGCTTGACTTGGAATATTACAATGCTGCTTCCAAGCCTTCCTTTGCAAGCGCTTGGTTTTGCAGCTTTCACCAATTTCCGTGGCCTCCTCTTCGCGTCATTCTTCACCTTTGTTGGACATAGCTTCGGAAACCGGACATTTGGCCGGATCAATGCTTTGCTTTGGTTCTGTACCGGGATCCTATCTCTACTTGTCCATCCTTGTGTGGAGATTTCCAAGCAATGGACTCGAGACCTTGTGGCGATGAACATTTTCATGCTGGCATTGTGCCTGGCTTGCACGATGTAGCGTGCAAGTAACCTTGCCAATGGTTTTGGCTAGGCGCATTCATGGTACTGTATTGTATTGTAGTGGTATTATGGCAGAGCGGAATTTCTGTGCAATACCCAAAATTGGCTGGCGTCGGATGAGATGCAGATGATGACACAGCAACTGCAATGTAGTCAGCGCGCCTACTCCTTCGCATCTCCAGCGGTGTGACCCACTGGTCACTAAGAGTGATCCGTTAGTCATAGCTGGTGTTTCTTTTTTGGCAGGGGGGTTTCCCTGCGGGGTTCGTTTGGTTGGTGGTCTTGCCAACCTCCAATTCTTTCTGGTGGCGTCTTTGTGCTTTCCAGCTTCTGTCTGTTGCCTAGGTTCTGTTAGGCTTTGGCAAGTGGATTGCTAGCTGTTTGCTCTTGTTTACCCTGCCCACCCGCACCTGGAGAAATAGGCAGTGTCGACTGTTGTTTCCGGTAATTGTCAGCTTTAAGCTGATGTGGATGTGTCAGCCTTGACTGAGCTGATGTCAGTTCCTTCATGTCAGCTGAGCTGATGACTGTTCCTGCGGGCGGGCGGGATCACGTGCTGTGGGACCCAACCAAAGCTGACTTCGAGGATGATGAGGATGAAGTGCATATCTCCAACAATGCTGTGACGGTGCTGCCTATACTCGTCGGGAACCATTAGGCTGCGTTTGCGACTACCCTTGATGGCCGTATTCGCCTCAAGCGGATTAAGAACTGGAAGACTAAGATTCAGCATTCTGAGCAGCGTGGGCACAGTTTCATTTTTCAGCACCTCAAGAACTCAAGAACACAAGTTGTCATGAACTGCAGGATCGGCAAGGCCAAACCATCACACAACCGGAGGAAGCGATCGGCGCGCTTAACGTGGGATAAGATTTTTGCTTCCAATGTCCTTGCTGACCATCCCCTCAAGATGTTGAAAACTGTGTGGCCCTATATCCTGACTCACTCCAAACCATTCAAAGGAGGAAAGTCCAGGCTGCTCTGGATGGACTGTCAACTCGAAGCCCTGCTAAGTCTTGCTTTGAGGTTTTGGCAATGTTCTTTCAGTCTTTGGAGGAATCCGATGATCCCTTTGCAAAACAAACCGGGCCCTGCCCTCCTTCTCCGATCAACAAACGCCTCATTACTGTTCTCACACCACTTTTGCTCGCTTACACCGGCGCGAGATTCAACCAGTTGCAAGACTGGCAGATTCGAGCCACGCTGCCAGCCATGAAGGGCCGCTATATGGCGACGTTGTGCAATGACCTGCGCCTCGACCTTGACTGTGCTTATCAAAATGAAGACGCAATCATCGCAATCAAGCTGGATAAGTCTAAGGCGTTTGATAGGATAGTTTTTTTCAATTTGCTGCCGGCCTTTTCGTTGCGTTTTGCATCCCGCAACATGTTGTCCGTGCTTCCTTAAGATTTACCAAAACCTGCATAAGCGCATGGCATACCGTAACTGGACATCCCCACAGGCCACGACTCACGCCAATGGGGTGGTGCAGGGTTGTTCGATGTCAATTCTTGCAATGAATGCCTATAATTTAAGGTATGATTTGATCTACTGGAGCGCTTTCCTGGCATCGTTGTGCGGGCATACACTGACGATAGCTACCTGTGGTGCCGCTTGGCTCATGCGTCTATGCTGCAACAGGCAAGGTTTGGGATCAGCTTGCCGGACAGAAACTTAATGTTGCTAAGTCCAGTATGTGGAGCAATACACACCACGGGCGGTTCCAGCTCAGGGAAAGATTCACTGGTTTGCCAGTTGTCCTTGAATTCGAGCCCCTCGGCGCACGGATGTACACGTCCAATTCAATAGGTGCTCTTTTGGGTTCTCCGACGATGGCGCTTTGAAGAAGGTCTGGAAGAAGGTATTGCCTGACATTGATAATATTGCTGCCCTATCTGTTTCGATGAAGACGTGGTCTTTCCTCATTGGGTCAAAGGTTGTCCCCCGAATCACGCTTGGTTTCCACATCTCTCGTATCCCCAAAGTCAAGCTTGAGATATGCAAAGTGCGAATGCTAAATATATTCGGGGGCACAGGCCTAAGTGGCGATCGAAGTGGCTGGTATACAAGATGCGCTTGCTAATCTACATTGTACCGACCCACGCACTGCCTGCATATAACACTGTATTGGAGGTCCTTCGGGCTTTTGACTCGGACAGGAACATTCTCCAAAAACTCGAGAGATGCCTTTTCCCAGGGGTATTGGCTGCGCACTCTTTGTGTAGTCAGTTTCAGTCTGCAAGTGACTTTCTGCAAATACAGATCCAGCTTGTTTGTGAAAACAAAAGCAGCTGTTTGATCTTGCCCAAACCATGACCGTGCTCCGATGGCCCAAAGTGTTGGCAACCGAGGCGATTCGATTGCGGGTGGCTGTACGCTGACCAACGACCGGATGACATGCGCGGGCTGGACAGACAATCCGAAGGGCCGGTTTGCCAGCGTCAAAAAAAGAGCCCATGTTTCACCTGGTACATGAGTGTCCAGGGGTTATCCGTGCAAATGGCGGCCCCGCAGTGCGTGAACTTGGGGACAACTTTGGCCTGTTGGGACATGTGCGTCAGCCCGCATTTATTGCGCGCAGAAGGTTGCTGCAACTTGATGCAAACACGATTCGCCCTTCTGGACCTTTAGACCCACACTCCAGTCGTGATGTTTGGAAAGAGGGGTGTGTAGTGTTTGGTGACACTGTATGGGAAGCAACAGGTGCATATGCCGTGCTAGATGCACAGTGCAATGTCATTCCACAAAAGCTGGTCATTGTCGGCGTACACGCGCGTGGAAAAGCCCAAACTCGATTGCGCATATTCAGCGACTGCCAAGATGTTGTGCGAGGTTTCTCTTCACAGGGCATCCTGTTGACCCGACGTGGAAGCTTTTCCACTGGTGGCGTTACCTTGCAGAACTCGTTCGTCTGCGGTCCGCAGAGGTTGACTATGCCCATTTTGTATTGAGTGGATACCGGCACGCAAGCTTGAAAAAGTTCCTCTAGCTCTGCTGACGGAGGAATTTTGCTGACGGAGGAATGTGTATTTTTGTTCCACACCACCGTACGGCGCATGGTTCAGAACAGACTTGTAGACGGCGCAGCCAACCTGGCTGGTTGGCCTTCATGGTTTACTGCCCACCAAGGAACCAGCTCTGTCGGCGCCGGTTGAAGTCAGAGAGTTGCCAGATGTGGGATGCGCCAGCGTCCTCCTTCAGATGGAAACCAAAAATACCTGGAGACCACCCTTGCCCTAAAGGGTGGTGAGGGGAGGAAAAAGACTGGTTCACCGTTTGCAAAATTCTACACGAGCTTTGGTGGAGAATGTCGCAAGAGCTTTCCTTTTCCTTTTGCGAGTTGGCTGCCGTTTTCCACTCCAGTGGATACAGGGTCACTGTCGACGCCCAGTTCCTCACGTTTCGTGCGTTGACCAATCTGATCCGGAAAAGTCATACAAATGCTCTCCAAAGACCCGGCAGTTGACGCTTTCCCTGGAATTTTCGATTCAACCAGACCGAGAACATGTGGACGTGTCCTTTGTCGGGGACGCATTGCAAATGCAATTCCATTTGTTGATCCCGAAGAGTATCAGCTTGTGGTGCGTTTGCTTGCGAGGGGCGCACGCCGCACACTTGAAGCTTGGGAGATTCATCTGTGACTTTCAACGCCGTGGAAAAATTTCATGTGGCATTAGTTATGTTATGTTGTGACCAGTGTGTCATGCGTAAGCCAGACAGGTGTCACTGCGATTTTCTTGCGCGAGAGGTGGTATTGTATTGTATGTCTGTATGAATATGTATTTTTCCTAAATTTCAGTCGCAGGAGTCAGTTGCTCCATGTCCTCGTCAGGGAGTTCACGTGGCTTTTGTGTCGACATCACCTCATTGGTGTCACCTTCAGGAGCCAGAGCAGTGGCTGCCTGGGAGTCATTGGGCGGTGCTTCTGCAAGGGTAGGTGTTGGACGAAGAGTCGGCCAGGGATTTGGGCACGTACAGCGCAACGCAAAACTGCCCACGAAACATGTCCGCGTCAGCGAGCAGGTTGAGCATATTTCGCCCACAAGGTTGAAGGATATGGAGACATTACCTGCCCATGTTGATGCTGTTGGAACTTAGTAAATGAGAGCCTTTGAAGTCCAGGGTCCGGGTCTGCCAAAATACAGCCTTGCCCAAACATGGTAGGCAACCCATGCCCCCACCACCAATGTTGAACGATTATGAATTTTTCATCTCAGGTGCTTTCCTGCCCTGTTGATGACCGTGGCGCTTTCATTTCATCTTTGCCGAAATCCTGGTGGAGACATCAACGTGCTGAGCTCCAAGCCAGCTGAAGCAGCTGAAAACACTGCTGCGGCTTGAGCGCAGGCGCAAAGGAAGGGATCTAAGATGATCTGAGGCAATTCACCAAGCTGGCTCGTTTGACACCGCCCCTCCCTTAAAAACTATTATTCTGGGGTCAGGGTACGTCGCAGAACAATTTTCCAGGACCCCTGAAAACGCGTAATTGGGGTCATTGGAGTAATGTTCAATATCAACTTCCACCTACCCCAGAATAATTGACTCTTGGCTCTTGACTTTCAAGTCAAGATTGCAGAAATTTTATATTAGATTGTCAGGACTTAGGCCGTAGGACTCAATTTTCCTAGATAGTTTTTCTTGACGCTTGACTTAATGTCAAGAAATCGTTGCTGAATAGGCTCGCATATTTTTTTGCCAGGGGTTCTTATTTGAGGGCCACTGTTAGCTAGGACAAACACGAGGTAGTGGCTGTCGATTTTCCAACATGATTAGCATGTCACTGTAGCCAAGTGTTTTGTTGTACTGCCTTACTTACCGCTCGTTCGGTGTGATCAGCAGAAAAAAGGTACGCGCGTGTGAATTGTTTGACTCTCTTGCAATGCTGCAATCCTTTGTTCGTTTGGCTGGTGGCAGGCTCAGCAACCGGTGTCTGGAGTGCTTTCTTCAACTCCCAGTCTTTCCATGTTCTTAGGTTTGCTGAGGCAGGGGAAACCAGGCAGGTTTAAAAACTTGCCAGCTATCTCTGGCAAGTCAGAGAGAGTTTTACAATCACTGCACGAATACTAACGGTTTCAAGCAAGAAAACCACATTTCTACACTGAGATAGAGTCTTTGGCTTGATCACGAGGCCTTCAATCTTGTTTGATAGCCGGACGATAAGATCATCGTCCTGTCTCATACATGTATATTTGAGGGGTTGCATTTTCTCGTCTCCGGAATTTCATTCCCGAGAGACCATTATTGTATATATATATACATGTTTTGGCTTGGTCGATAACATGATCATTATCGATGTCCTCGCCCTCCTGCATACATCTTCTTAAACCAGTATTCAAAGCTCGAACACTTGGATGCAAAAACTTGGACCCAAAGCCAACACCCTTATCTGGCGTTTATATATTCCAGTCAGCTATGCTGTCGACGTTTGGGTCCACTTTTGATGTATTTAGGGACTCAGGCAGACACACGCGCTCCTTTTCACACTCAGCATTGTTGAGCCATTAAAATTGAATTCGTTTTTCTTTTTATTTTTTTTCTAGTGTTTTTCTTTCAGTTTTGTTTTTATGTTATTTATTTATTTATTAATTATATTTTTTCTTATCATATTTTTTCCGCTTCGTCATGCACATCTTTGCGTGCTTTGCAAAGTGGAATGCTTACGTTGATCAGCTCCTCCCACTCTTGATCCATCAATTCCTCTGCCATTTCTGCAAAGACTTTTGCCTCATGACCCGGCAATTCTCTTTCCAAAAGTTGCAGAGTCTCTCGCAAGCAGGTGTTTGTATGATTTTCTTGCCGTACGACAAGGCCAGAAGTCGTGTCAAGGTAGAGCCTTGCTCTCCTTTTGCCACCTCTGGAAATTGGTTCTTGATGACAGATATCCTTAGCTCGACCATTGTCATCATCGCTTGAACCCATCTGGAGTCGAACGAAGACTTGTTAGACACTTGGAAGGAAAAACAAAACACTATCAGTGAAGAGTTCAAATCAACTTTCAGTTTACTTTTCACACCCAAGCGCTTCTCTTCATATCTTCATATCTTGTGCATTCCACCTGGCAAAGCACGCAGAGAGGATTAAGATGTTTTTTTCATGAAGCTCTGAGTTTTAGCCGGAGGCGAATCAAGGCTGCTTCAGAAATATGCCCAGGCGTTTCAAATCACTATGTTGAGCAGGATAAGCTGTGCGGGGTAAAGGTAAATTGATCCGTCGACTACCACCTTCAGATTGGCACTTTTCAACCACATGAAACACTACCAGATGGGTCTAAGCTGACTGTAACAGGCACCGCTACAAAGGCTGTCGGTGTTGTTGTCGGTGCCAACGCTCCGCAAAACAACAAAGTGGATCTTTTGTCTTGCTTCTCACATGTCTCACAACAACTTCATCCTCAGCAAATTTGATTGAATTGAAACGAGTACAAACAATCAAATAACAACATAAAGACCTGCTTTGTTTCATTTTCGTTGGGCAAAGTTGAGGGCCGGTAAGTAAGCGCATGAAGCTTCCAAAGCAGTGCTGAAAAGGATCGAAATATAGGCAAACATTCATGTCCACTGTTAGCTTGTCTTTGTACACGAGGCTGTCAGTCATCAATCCACCCACCCAAGCTGCTCCAATTGCTCCAAAACGTTGCAGCTCAAAGCTTGCATGGACTATGGACGCCACTGATCTGAATTCAGCTGGCTTCACGCCTTCCTGATTCTGTTTGCTTCACATCTGCGAATGGTGCGTAATGATTGACCTACACTAACACTTGGTATCCCAACTGAGCCGGCGCAACACAAATCAATGAAAAGAGTTCTGGTGCAACAGAAGGTGAGAAACGTAGAACCTGGGACTACTGGCCTGTCGCGCAAAGGTCCTTGGCCGCATGCGCCACGTTGGACTTGAATAACTGCCTTTTCACCAAAGACGTGCATCCTTGACTGAGGACACTTGCCCCCCCTGAACGCCAGTGAAATCTCTTTCGATGAGCTCAACCTTGTGAGTGCACACATTGTGGAAAAAGACATGCTCTTCGCCGACTCCAGACGAAGCCTTGACCAAAGATTCTTTACAACCAACGCACCAAGCCTTTTTTGTTTGTTGGTGTTTGTTGGTTGATTTGGTTGTGTGTTGATCAATTCATAGGTTAAGTGATGCATTGTTGAAATTGAGTCTGAGTTTGGGCTCTCAAATCCTTCGGGTCCCGTTTGCTTCTCTCGTGTTCGTCATGTTGACCTCCATTCAGCATCTCTCTCTCAATACAGGTGGTGTCCTCCCACAGGCGGTCCAAAGCAGATTGGCTTCCGACACGTCCTTGCTCAACATTCCACTCCAGTGGCCATCGCCCAAGCTACGGTGGATGTGCACCGTGTCACAAGCTTGAGGAAAGGCTCTGCGTTTGCCGGAGTTTGCTGACAGGTACACCTCGGACATGTTCAAGCGGCGCATTGCCTCGGGATCCTGGAGCACATCAAAGATGTGTGAGGCTTGCAGCGCCCAGCCACGGTTCGCCCAATCAACCATCAATTGCTTAACCAGATCCTGGGGTCATGGCCGACAACACAGTGCCGCTGCTCAATGTTATTTTGTTTGGATCTGTCCCCTTAACCTAGCCGGTTTTTCCACAGCCCAAACTTTCACTGACAATACTGCAAATACAAATGCCTATTCAAACCGGGAATCATTCGGAACAATCTCCAGAGCGGATCGAGTCTTACAGAGCTGCTTGATGTTGTGAAATTAGCTGCCCCTTTGGCTTATCCTGCTTGCTCTGTCTTTTTGGTCGTCATGGTCTAGCTCATCAGCCTCATGCTGAGCGACATCATTTTCATTCATCCTTCTTTGGTTGGGTTGGTAGGAGCAGTTCCTGTGAATAATTCCGGAGAGTCCAATAATCAGGCGCTTATGTTGTGGACTGACCTCCCCCGAAGCCAAGCATATCGTGAAGTATGACACTGGAAGACTTCACAAGACAGGCTTCTTTGCTGAATGGCTCAACTACGAACCAACTAAGGTTCTGACAAACAGATAAACAAAGATTCACATGACCCAAGAAAGGACGTGGGCCAAGGCATGGTAAACTTGCCACCATCACACGCCAAGCCACTTTGCCGAAACTCTATAATTGATGTTCTGGAAATAGAGACTACAAGGATCCTTATGATTTCCCCTCCCCCACTTGCAGCTCTGTGGGGCATGATCTTGGACTTTTCACCCGGAGTCATCTTTCCAGTCATGATGTAATATTTTTCAATCAAGCACACACCTTCAAAATTGGACAAGCTTGCCTGAGAGAGTTCTGACCTCATGAAGCCTTGCCTCATGACGGATGCGAGCGCTGGCTTGCCGCTTCCTGTGGGGATGCCAAGAACATTGGTAAGAGCATTGGTCTTGCTTTTATTGGAACAGGTCATTCTCCGTTGAATTCTGCACCCGTTGCTTGACAAGCACATGGTTTTAAGGGAGCTTGACGCTCAAGGCATTTGGCCAAGAAACAGAGCTGTAAATTTGGATGTCGATTGCGCCTGAGAAAATGGAGGAGGGCCAGAAGCTCTCGAACTTCTCATGGGAGTCTGTGAGCATGAATGTCAAAGTGGGCAAGCAGGACAAGAAAATCCTTGATGGAAGCTGGGAACTGAAATTCTTGTTTGTGTTTGCTAGGTCAACGATATCTGAAGCAAGCATTTGCCAAGCATGCAAATTCACAACATAGTCAAGAAGCCCTTTAAACTAAGGAATCAGTGGCACCTTGCGTGGTGGAGAAGTTTGCGCTTTGATGGGTCCATCCGGTGCGGGAAAGACGTCACTGCTTAACGTTTTGGCAGGGCGTGTGCGGTCTCGAGGAAATGTGAAGGTAGATGGTAGCATTTTGCTTGACAATTTACCTATTAGCGGCTCTGCCTTGAGAAAGCGCATTGCCTACGTGATGCAACAGGACATTCTGACTCCGACACAGACTGTGCGAGAGTCTCTGTGGTTCTCAGCTAATTTGCGACTTCCCAAGTCCTACTCGCGAAAGGAGAAAGAAGAACTTGTCGGCTTGGCCTTGCTCAGCAAAACTTGTTTCAGTTTTTTGTGCTTAGAGCGTTCAATCACCCCACCACCCTTTTTTGGGAGGTTTCAGGCAGCATTGACTTTGTATTGGCTGCACCACCGAAAGGTTTCATGCTTAGCAAAGATGCTTTGCATCAAACGCAGAGACCCCATCTTTGCAGGTGGAGAAGACCTTGAAAGAATTGGGTTTGGAGAAATGTGCAGACACCTATATTGGAGATGACATGATTCGCGGTGTATCAGGTGAGCGGCTTTCAGTTCCGGCGTTGTGCTTCCATGGTTTTCAAGACTTATGTTATAGTTTAATTGTAACCGTATGTTGAACATTGATGTCAATATTTGATTGGAAGACTATCGAATATCCTTGATTCCACCTGAGGCGGAGAAAAGAAGAGGACCTGCGTTGGCATTGAGCTCATTATGAAGCCCAAGTTGATCTTCTTAGATGAACCAACTTCGGGTTTGGACTCTTATGCCGCCCATAATGTTGTGATGAGGCTGAAAGACATGGCTGCTCATGATGGTTGCAATGTGCTTTGCACTATCCACCAGCCTTCCTCAGAAGTCTTTCATCAGTTCAACAGCGTCATGGTCCTGCGATCTGGAAAGCGCTTCTACTTCGGACCTTTGTCGGGCCTTTCCACCTCCCTCCATGCAGCTGGGAAGGGATGCCCCAATGAGTTCAACTTGGCAGATCATGTGATGTTTGTGCTGCAAACTGAATCTAGCGAGGCCTTGGATAAGATCGAGATGCAAATGCAGGAAGCTACACCAGCTAGCCAGCATCCTGAGATGCCTCATGACAAGAGCGTCATGACCATGAAATTGGAAGGTGCTCACGCAGGATTCTTCACACAGTTGGCAGCCCTCACCAAGCGCGAGTTTCAAAATGTCTATCGAGACAAAGCAGGTCTGATTGCCTCAATTTTGGTTCCACTGATCCTGAACGTGGCTGGTCTTCCACAAGCCAAAGCATTTTGTCCTTCAGAGATCCCTAATTAGCCGGGGCAAGATGTAGTTTACACCAGCGCTCATTGGTTTGAGAGTTTTCCGTTAAAAATTATGTCTAAGACACACAACATGGGGAGAGTCTTGCCGTTTCACACTCCTTGCAGCTGTTGGGCAATGCTTTGAGGTCTTCTTTGCGCTCATTTTCTTCCAGGTGGGCAACATCGATCGCTCAGAGTGGACCGCACAGGCGCACTTTGGTGGCATGACTCAGGCGCATGTATGGGTAGTGTTAGAGCGACCGTGTTGGCGTGCATGTGCAGGCTTTAATGATCCGCAAGCGTGCTTCACCCAATAAAGCTTTCGCAATGTTCAGCTTTATTCAAATTTGTAACTGTATCTTGGCTGTCGTTTTGCAGCAGTAGTAGCAAGAACATTCTCCCACGCAGCTTACCTACTTATGCTTCATCTCATCATGCAAAAGCAGTCTGAGATAGTCCGAGTGTATGGTAATAATTGAAAGCACTGTCAAGCAAGCCCTGAGGTGGCGATTGGTGGTATGTTCGGAGCTGCCCAGCCACTTCTCTTGAAATTCCCCTTGGATCGGGGAATCTTTCTGCGAGAGTATGCCACTCAGACCTATGGTGCAGCTCCCTACTTCATCTCCAAATCCATGGTCGAACTTTCACTCAGCTTTTGTCGAACTTTTCCAATTTCCGCCTTGCAGAAATGCATTGGCATAGCTTTGCTTAGTGCAAACCAGAGGTGGCTCAACAGCTGTGAGCTGTAGAAGTAGTTCAAGGCAAAAGCATCTAAGGAGTTGCCACAGAGCTTCTTGAATGCTTGCATCACTTGGGGTGCCGCCTACTTCATTATGGGGTTGCAAGGAAGCTTCATCATGTACCTTATCTCCAATCCTTGACTTGACTGATCGGCCGCTTTCATTTTGAGACAGGTTGCGGGGTGGGTCTGGCGCATTTCTACGCGAGCAACCACGTTCATTCATTCTTTACTAAAGTAGCCAGCGTGCTCTATTTGTTTGTCCAACATCAGTATTCGCTGGTGAATGAAATAACGGCCCCACATAAACGAGATACTTTTGATGACACTAAAGTAGTCTGAACGAGATAACGAGATACTGTGATTTGCTACTCGTACTAAAGTAGTCTGAAAGAAATACTGTGAAATGACCTTAAGTAGTCTAAACGAGATAGGGCCCCCACATAATAGATAGTGTATTTGAGTTTAGTAGTGAACAAATGCTGCCGCTCATAATATAGGTGCTTCTATTATCACAGGGGTGCTCTCAGCAACCACAAAAAAAGTAGGTTTTCCCAAACATCTAGAAACCAAAGCACAGTGCAAACGCTTCCTTGATTCCTTGAAGAAGCGTGAGCTATCCTGCGTCCAGTAGGTAGTAGCTTCCTTTACCTAATAGTTGCTACTAACCAGCTACTACCTCCTACCCCTCCGAACTAAAAGACAGGAATACTCGCGCCCTAAAACATGTTCTTTTTTGCCGTTGCTTGCCAGGTATGTCTTGATCTTTTGGATCACCGGAGTTGCAGCCGCGAGCACTGCCTTGCTGGTGGGCTGCCTGGCTGCCAACCCAGAGGTTGCCCAACAGGCTGCCCCTGCAGCCACTTGGCAGCAAATCATTGTGAGTTGGTGATGCCAAGCTCAATCCGATTTGAGCATTGAGATGTATTGATTTGTACAGCGTCCAAGAGGGCGACCATTTCCAGGTCTTTGTTCCCCAGCTTCTCTTTGCCGGATTCTTCATCCAATCGGAGCAGATCCCGGTGTGGTTGCGATGGGCACAATACCTTTGCGCTTTGAAGTACGGAGCCTCACACAAATCAGACAGACTAACAGACAGTCAGGTGGGCGAGACAACCAAGGTTTTACCAAGGAGAAGAATGGAATGGTGACCAAGAGTGTAAGCTGCTACGAAATGAGCGACTGAGGAATGAACCTGAACATCATGAATGAGTTTGGTACTGACGTCATTCAAGATTGGCCCGTGCAGAAGCAAGCGATGGTTTCCGGGCTAATTGAGAATAACAACATCAACCCAGATCATGGCTGGCTCTACGCAGGACTGGTTGCATAGGATCTGGAGTCGCCAACTTTGCCCAACCACTTTTCAGTTCATTCATGCCACCGCCACCTGCAAGCATTCTAGCTAGTTGCTTTCCCCAGGAGTTCTTATTGGAATCATTGTGGTCGTGCGGCTTCTGTCTGTTGTAGCCTTGGCCAAGCGCGCAGCTGCCTTCTTCTGAGAAGAGTTAAAGCCTTTTGCTCTGCTTGAGCATGATTTTCGGTGGGCTGTGGGGTAAAGGTACCTCTCATCTTGGTCTGTGAACCGCAAAAAAAGCATTTGCGTGGCAGGCCATTGTCATGCCCTGTCTTTTTGCACCGAGTATGTTGAAAACAACTCGCATATATACGTGCTTCGTGTTGGCCGACATATCTCTTGTCAGAGTCAAGTGTGTTGGCCAGCGTCGGGTCCACATGTCTCTGGTCAAAGTTATGCGTGTTGGCCAGCAAAAAGAACGTGCTATGCCAGTATGCGGCGGGATGCTAGCTGCTAGACAGTGTTTGCAGGCTGATTAATACCGTACCCTTGACTGGATGCAATTTTTTTGAGCTGTTGGTCGAAGACTTGTTTCTTTTTCGGTCACAGACACTAGGACGAACCAGTTTCCATGTTCGTCGATCTTTCTTTTCGGGAGATGAGAGTCCAAAAGGAAAGGGGAAAGGCACATTTTGCTCGTCCCTTGCACCTCCCTCTCAGGGAAAAAGATTTGTTTTTTGCAATTCGGACAGCCTAAGCATTCAGGAGATCTCCGTCACTGTTGCTGTTCCAGCGGCACCCTGCCTCTCACTCAGCTCAGATTGGGTCAGAACTGTCAACTTGATGTGCTCATCAAACGCGCTTATATGGATTGTGTGGATTTGGCTGTTTCAGAGTGGGGGATTCAAGCATCTGAGAAGTCAAGGCAATCAAGTGAGTCAAGCAATCATCCCATTGATTTCCCTTCTTGCGACTACTCCCTTTTCTCTTTTTCATTTTGCTCCAAACACATGGGTTGACCAGGCTTTGGGAGATCTCCGCCGTGGGAGTCGCCATGTCCAATCCAGGCACCAGTGACACCAGTGACCAGTGAGTTTGAGACTGTTTTGGTTTTGAAGAGTGCAGCTTTCCGACATAAGAGACGGGGTACTGTAGATTTATGCAGAACTGATCTGGCACAACTTTTTCACCCAGCTTGGGTGATCTTTGTTGGCGAAAGCTTCTGAGTTTGGCCTGATATCTCTTTATATTTTCGTTGGATGGCAGGACACAGACACATGCATCAGTATATCAGCAGACGGCAATGGAGAACTTTCAAAACGGCCACTCATGCGAAGTTGCTTCTCCTTCCAAGTCTTGGAACTGAAATGATGCAGGTCACATCAGCAGGTGCTGGGATGTGGGTTGGGACCGAGCTCTATATGGGAAACAAACAAAACATTGCCGCAAGGCTCTGCCCTTTGGACTGAACAATTTTGCGCTGGCGAAATCTACCCTAGTAGCGATGGCCTCCACCCTGGCTTCTTCTTGTTTTTGCCCATTCAATTGAATCGACTTTAGAGGTGTAAACTGGACAGTCTGCAGAAAGCTTACTACCACTGGCAGTGGAGGTCAGCCGTCGGGCAAAGCGGAGAATACAGAAACGTGTGGAGGCGGAGGACAGGGTCACAAAATGGGGCTGAGGTAGCGGTCGGCTGTCACAGTTGTTGATGATTGGGCTTCGGCCTATCCTGGCGCACTGAGCACCAGCCGATGCGCATGTTCGTTCAAAGAGGTCTTGCAGAACTGCCTGGCCTGAATTTCTGAATGCATGGGACCAGCAGTTGTAATTACCTTCGAAGCTCTCGCACTGAGAAACCTGTGGTGGTGAGGCTGAAGAACCTTTGCATTTTGATTTTCCCAGACGCCTCACCAAGCAGGACAGCTGGGCGTGCTCGACATGGGTTCCAGACAGAAACACATCGGTAGGCTGTACAGTCACTACTTTAACCGCCGCAGGCATGTGCCAGCCTCCACGGCTGAATGCTGCCGCATGTGTGGGGAGTAAGCAGACGAGCAACTAGACTGAAGGCGGGGGAAGACGCAAAGCAAAGAAACGGCAAGGGCTGGCCCTGGAGGAAGTCATAAATTGACTCCTGCTGGTTGAGCAGGTGTAGGTGGGTGAAGGGAAAGCAGATGAGCAACATGCCGCCATCAAAAAGCATAAGCAAGGGAGCTTGGCTCAAGGCGTGGGAGGCGCAACGCAGAGACACGGCAAGCAGGAAGGGGTGCGTGGAAATGCAAAGGCGGGAAAAAGTCGCGTGGAGGAAGAAGGTAACGTAAATCATGAGTGGGCTTAGAGTGGTGCTCATAAAGGGTAGGGGTCACTCTAAAGCCATGCTAAGCTGCTAAGATGCCTAAAAGTTGAGATAGGTATTGAGGAAAGGGGTCTGTCAAGGGTTGCCTGATAGACAGGAGGAAACAAGAGCATTCACAACTGTAAGTAAAAACCGTGGCTTGTGTAAAGTGGGGTTTGTTGCAAACTAAGGTTGGTGCAAGCCGTGATTTGGTGTAAACGGTGGGCGGTGCAAACCGTGGTTTGGTGTAAACGGTGGTTGGTGGAAGGCATGGTTTGGTGTAAACGGTGGTTGGTGTGAATCATGGATTGGTGTACACAGTGGGTTGGTGTAAAACGTAGCTTGGTGTAAACGGTGGTTGGTGTAAAACGTAGCTTGGTGTAAACGGTGGTTGGTGTAAATGGTGGTTGGTGTAACCGTGGTTTGGTGTAAATGGTGGTTGGTGCAAACCGCAGTTTGGTGTAAACCGTGGTTGGCGCTGCTATTGAAACCATGGAAGAACGCCGTGAAGCGCGGGCAAAACACCGGCGACGCGGCAGAACGACGACGACGACGACGACGACGACGAAGACGACGATGACGACAACGTGGAGGGGTGAGGGGGGGTCAAGTTAGTCGAGGCAAACATCCGCGCAGAGGAGTAATCTAAACGATGGACAACTTTAGTATTGGACAATAGCACATAAAAGTACAAGTACAAGAACATCCACAAGACACGCCGGCAGGCCGGCGGATTAGTCATACTGTACGCACATTTTGGCCCGAAGATCTTCGGTTCAATTTGTGCAGAACACGACTCTTTCACAATGCTGTTCTGCCAGCGCCATTTCGCAGGAGCGTGACGAGGTCCGACAAGAACTGTCGACTGCTTTGGCGGTATTGAAGAGTGAGGCACGGTGTTGTAGCATTGTATTTTTGTAGGAATATCACGGAATATGAAACTAGGCCACTTATTCAGAATGCGTTTCGCGCTGTCCTGTGCAGCTTCCCAATCTATTTGTCATTTGTCACTCGAACAGTCACTGCAGAGCTCCCTATGTAGTTTCATCAAACCTGAAGGAACACATGTGCATTCCTGCTTGCTTGGCTTCCCTTGACACTGACTTCAAACTGCTTAGTTCAGGCAACCGTGTCACTCCCCCAAAAAGCTCAGGAGCAGTCACCTGCTTTTGTTGTGGTCCGTTTAGGTAGGATTTCTACTACACGGTGCCATTGCTTGTGCTATATTTGCATAGAAAGGTTGAGATTCTGAGGGCTGTACTTTGACACAGCTCAACATGTTTCGACAGCTTTGAAAGCGTTTGTAGGACCTAGACCCGGCAGAGTTACGGCTGCGATCCAAGGCCAGCAGGGAAGCAACACGTAGGCTGTAGGCACTACGTTGGTGGCTTTGCACAAGACAAGGGGCCATTCTGACACACTATCTATTCCTACGCATGGATATTTGCAAGTTTTGGTCACACAACTTGGCTTTCCACGGACACTGGTCAGTTCACGGTCTTCAGGTGGAGTTGCTTTGTGCTCAAGTACCGGCAGATGCAGGACCTGTTGAGCTGGCACAGGCAATGGGTGCTCACTAGGAAAGGGCGATTTCACAATCTCGAACAGATGTTTGGAGCTTTGGCCGCTCCCTGTCTCTCCTTAATCTCTCCTTATGTCTCATTGATTTTCAGAGGTGCTGCGACTTTTGGTGCAGAGCTATGACGCTGCTGAGCGCGACCTGAAGGCAGGTCTTTCAAGAGGTGTCGAAGCATGTATTCTTTTTTCCAGTTCAACTGCTCTGATTTATATCCATTGGAGACCTGTGCCGTTTGTATCTCTTGTCCCAACTCAGTTTACCAGTCCAGTGAAGCGTCTCCACCTGATCACATGTCTCATCCTTTCTCCAATTCGTCCGATTCCATCTGACAGGTCAAGAAAATTACGTTTCCCTAAAAAGCTAGAAACCAAATGCACAGTGTGCGAGCTATCGTGCTTCCTAGTTAGTGGCTAGTAGCTTACTTAATGAAGTAGCCGCCTACTTAATTAAGCAGGGCGATCCAAGTTTTGAGCTCGGCTCTTCTCAAGGAAAGAGGGGCTGCCCTTGGTGAAGAGTTCCGTGAGCTCGCTCGGAAGGAGTCTCCTTTGTATGCGATTTGCAGATGAAAGACTAAACAAAGGCGAGCCCATTTGCCGTTGGCAACATATCTTCAGAAAGCAACTGATTTCCTGCTTAGACCAATGTCCTTTACGCCAGGATGGTCTGGGCCTCTCAGCTGTCCTGAGACGTGCGGCGCTGCTACGTCAACGCCTTGCGCCTGAGGCAGGGGTCATGGAGTCCTTTTGATGCTCATGGGATGTTTGATGCAGTATTGCAAGTTCATGCACATTCGACAAGCTGAAGCACATTTGCAGTTCAAGGATCTCACGTTTTTTCAGTCGAGTGAGATTATCCAAAGAAATTCTTGACATGTATGCAAAGGTATTGAAAAACTAAGGCAGTGGCCTTTGCTGCACGTTTGGCCTTAGCGCTGCCAAGTGAATCAGTTCAATTATCATCTGCACTGCTCGAGGCTGGGGGTTGGTCGGGAGTCTTTTTGTTTGATCACAAAGAGCTGATCCTGCCAATATCCATACATATCCTATAATACAGATGATGCTTGATGTAAGGTATATAGTATTTGTGTCTCTGGAGTCGTTGCATTCCTTTGACAGTCCAAAAAGACAGGCACTGGTACCTCATGTTGTGCGGGAGCCCAGCTGGGCTTCAACTTGGCGGTAAAATCCGTTGAAATCTTTTGCGGTATGTCCATGGTCCATAATAGCAATGGACTCCAACCTAATAGCAATGGTCTCCAACCTAATAGTGATGGCCTCCAACCCAGTAGCAATGGACTCCAACCTATATAATAGCAATGGTCTCCAACCTAATAGTGATGGCCTCCAACCCAGTAGCGATGGCCTCCAACCTAATAGCAATGGCCTTCAACCTAATAGTGATGGTCTCCAACCTAGTAGCGATGGCCTCCAACCTAATAGCAATGGCCTTCAACCTAATAGTGATGGCTCTCCAACCTAGTAGCGATGGCCTCCAACCTAATAGCAATGGCCTCCAACTTAATAGCAATGGTCTCCAACCTAATAGTGATGGCCTCCAA